GCACATCTTTACAGGAGCACAAAACCATCTTTTCTCCCGTGTAGCAGCTGGTGGGCTCAAACTGCCCATCCTGTGGTTCACAGACCAGTGCTTATCACACAGACTCACCACACTCTGATCCTGAGTGTTGTTGTTGTGAAGTGCTATCGAGTCAGTTCCAACCTATAGTGACTCTGTATAGGGTTTCTGAGGAGAAGCTGGTGAGCTTGAACCAGCAACCTTGCAGTTCAAACGGCTTTGCAGTCTGGCGCATTAACCCGCAGTGCCACACCAGGACTCATCAGGGGTGAGTTAATTAAATGTTTGACCAAATGTAGCAGGCTAATTTTTAAGTTGATAATTTTGTCTGGCCTGCAAATGATGTTATATATTCTGGCAGAGAAAAGGTTCCCCATCCCTGCCGTAGCCTAATGCTTCCTGTCCTTTCAAATAGAATAATGGGATGGCCGTAATTCAGAGTTAGTTATATTTTTCTTTTTTTTTTTACTATTTTAATTGAACTGTTACGTGGTGACTAGAATGTCAGATTGAAACCATTTTAAAAACTTGCTGAGTGCTTGAGGAGAAAGATTTTCATGGGTAAGGAAGACAGGTGGTGAACAACCTGATGCTGCTACGTGCCAGTCAGGTTGGTTCTGACTCATAGCAACTCTGCATAGGGTTTCTTTACGGGAGCAGAAAGCTCTGGAGGAGTGGCTGGTGGGTTTGAACTGCTGACCTTGCAGTTAGCAGTGCAACCTATAACCACTATGCTCCCAGGGCTCTGGACAACAAATGCTACTTACAAAAGATACTCTTCAGGAGTCCTGCGAAGTCACTTCTCCAATGCAGTGAAAAGAGACCTGTATCAAAACTTGCTGCGTGAGCCGAGGTCTCCAGACTATGGAAAGAGAAAGGCTGTGTGTTGGCGGCCAGGAGGAAGACTTGCAGAATGTGCCCTTCGGTTGTTTAAATGATAATATATTCCTGAGTGTTTTTGTATACATCCAGAAAAAAGCAACAGAGGGAATAGAAGCAAATACTGTTGAATGATGATGCACGGAAGAGATTGTAATTATTGCAATGAAACAATGAGTGTAAAAGCGATGTTCTCCCTTGTAAACTATCGCTCAATTCACAATAAAAACTTAAAAGTAAACAAACAAAAAACCCACTTGCTGCATGCCAGCGCCTGGGATGCTTCAGAGATGCTGTGAGTTGGATGTTGAAGCACGGTCTTGCTTTTCCCTCTCCCAGTCTCCAGGTCTGAGCTCCTCCTGGGGAAGCAGCCTCTGGCAGTACCCAGTGGGGACATCATGACATTTAATCCTGGTTTGACTTTTTCCTGGTGACTTGTGGCCCTCCCTTCAGGATCCCCTCCCCTACTTCCCCTGGAGCCTGTGACACTCAGGCCTAAGGCTGGGTCTCTGGAAAGGAGGCCAATCTGTAATCTTGACTGTCCAGAGCCCCTGTGAATTGAGGCCACTTGTTAAGGACAGGGCCGGTCTCAGGTGTACCTGTGGCCCTTCAGTATGGCTGTGAAGTGAAAGAGCATGGGCTCTGGGGGCCCATACCTGGTACTTGACTACCCCATGCCTCAGTTTCCCCATCTTGGCCATGGTGGTGACTCTAGACAAGGTGAGGTGTGAAGCCCAGGCCCACATGTATGCCAGTGAATGCCATAGGCATTTCCTATGGAGTATCATTTCAGGACTGACTTCTATCTTAGTTCCCTCAACTGCTGTAACTGACATATCACAGGCGAGTGGCTTTACCAGACAGAAATGGATTCTTTCATCACTTTAGGGAGTTGGAAGCCTACGTTTAGAGTTGGGCAGCTCCTAGGCAGTGTTCATGGGGCTTGGCATGTCTTCCCTTGCCTCTGTTTCTTTTGCTCGCTTATTTAATCTGTTTTGTAGGAACCCTGGTGTGGCGCTGTAGGATAAGCACTGGACTGCTAGCCACAACACTGACAGTTCAAACCCACCAGCTGCTTCTAGAAAACCCTTGACAGGGTCACTGTGACAGCAGTTAACAACAAAGATCTCAAAAGAGATAAACTCAAGACACACCTTACATGATTCCTGTTTCATTCACATAACAAAAAACAAACCATTCCCAAACGGGCTTGTAACCACAGACATAGAAGTCAGGGTTCACAACACATAGTTCCTGTCTCATTCACATAACAAAAAACAAACCATTCCCAAACGGGCTTGTAACCACAGACATAGAAGTCAGGGTTCACAACACATAGTTTTGGGGTGCACTGTTCAATCCATAACAATTTCTATCCTTTTACCAACTGACTTGGACAAGTTCTCTGAATTCACGTCAACACGGTTCATAAAAAGATGTTATCTTAGTTATCTGTTGTTGTTGTTGTTGTTAAGTGCCATCGAGTTAATTCCAACTCATAGTGACCCTGTATAGGCTTTCCAAGAAGCGGCTGGTGAGTTTGAACCGCCAACCTTGCAGTTCAAACCAACTTTGTGGTCGAGTGCTTATCTTACAGCGCCACATCTAATGCTACTTTAATAGAAGTATCACAACGGGGTGACTTTGACAAACAGAAATCTCACAGTTTTAGAGGCTAGGAGTTTGAATTCAGAGTACCAGCTTTTCTCTCTCCTCTCAGCATTTGGAGCACCGCATTCCTTGGAGAGCTCCATGTGTCTTAGCATCAACCTTCCCCTGGATCTAGAAGCTTCACAGAGCAGGGACCCAAGGTTCAAAGGACATGGTCTACTCCCAGCTCTCTAGCTTGGTGGAAATGGGTCCCTCTCTTTCTGGCCAAGTCTCCCGCCTTTTATCTCTTTTTGTAAGATACAAGGTGTTGTGTGTCGCACCCTTGGGAATCTCTCGTAAATCAGATCAGGGTAGCATTGTGATTAAGAGTGGTGGAACCCACCCTGAATCCACTTACTGGTTTATCCCATCAAGTCACATCATGAAGGATAGCTACATCTCAACTTCCAAACCACTAAGTTGCCACAAAACCTAAACTGTCAGGGATCCAGATGACAAAGAAGGAGAAACGGCTCACGTTGAGTCCTGGCAGCACAGGGTGTTCCCAGTTTCCTTTTGTGTTGTAAACCCGAACATAATAGCGATGTCAGCTGTATCTCTAGATCTCTCCAAGTCCCCAGCCTAGTGCCTGACACATAATAGTTCTCGAATAGTGTCCGCACATAAGGGCCCCTAGTGCATAGCCAGCATTTCTTAGCAAGGTAAATTCATTCATGCGTTCAAGTGGATACCTGAAGACAGTAAGTGTGAATTGTACTCCCAGCTCTTTGCAGCCCAGGACTTGATTCTAGAGATTTTAATTGCTTTAAATCTCCTCCATTTCAATGAGAAACCAAGTAAGTACACAGGAAGTGACCAGTGATGGACAGCTCTTGCTGCTGTTGATGGTTTTGAGCATTTTTGTGGAGGGAACATAGATCCACGAGAGATTCAGTGTGCGTTAGCAGC